CAGGAAAAAGCCCCCTCCACACCCACAAGCCCTGCTGTTGAACTTTAGCACCAAACATCATCCTGTATTAACTCCTGCTTTGTTTTTTGGAGTTGCAGCTGGGTTGCTTTGGGTTTGTTGTTTTAAAATATTTATTTTGCTTGATGGTGTCTAAGGCCTTAACGAAGCCAGAGGATCTGACAGCAGCATCTTTGTCCCAAGGTGTGGGGCAAACAGCAAACTCTAGATGGAAAAATCAGTGGGACACCAATCTGTGTCCCATTACTCTGTTTGGTGAGGAAACTCTCTGTAACAGAGGCCTCTGGGTTGGAATTTGGGTTTGGAAGAGACAAAAGCAATTTGGAATTTTGAGGCCGTGATTCTTTTAGCCAGAGGTTTTTAACACACCTGGATGATGAGATTTCTGGGAGGGTAGAATAAGTGGATCAGGGAATAGAATTGGCACTTCCCAAGCTGGAAGTGCTGGATGTGGGATGCAGTCACGTGGGAATGATACCCTGCCCTCTGAAAAACATCCTTATCGTTGAGTGGGGGGTTTGAAAAGGATGTCTCATTTCTATTTTTCCTCTTTTATGGAAAGCTTCACTCTTCCAGGCTCAAAAGGGACCTCAGTGGTGTTAAATTCTTGCTTTGACCTGAGTTTGTGATTGTACATGCCCTGGATGGAATTGCCATTGCAGAGTGTTTTCCCTGGAGAGGTGCTGGGTGTTCAGCCACCCCTGGGATGGTCCATGTGTTTCTCCAAGGATCTAAAGGTCAACCACAGCCTTGAATCAAAAAGAACAGAAGGTTGGGCAACACACATGATGAGCAGAGTGAGGATTTTATCCATTTAGATTAGATGAGAGCTCCAGGAGCTGCTTGGGTGATGGGTGGCACGGAGTGAAGACGCCTCATTGTGAGGTCCTGTATCCTGGGGGACCTCAGGGGTTTGGGATCCCGCTGCAGCTCCTGCCATCCCTTTCAGAGTGACACAAGGAACGTGTGTGATCCCTCAGAGCTGTCCCAGTGTGTCTGAGGGTTTGTAGGGTTTGAGTGGGCTGGGAGTGCCCGGGATCAGCTCAGCCAGGCCGAGCATCCCGGGTTGCAAAACTGCTGCTGCGAGGGCAAAGGACACCCACGTGTCCAAACACAGCAGCACGAGGTGTTTCTTCACTCCCTGCTGAACCAGGAGGAGCTTCCAGCCGATTTTCCAGACGATTCTGGTTTGCTGCCAGGGTTTAAAATACACCTTCCCTCTTGCATACGTGCTGGAGCACATGATGCTGAAATGGGAGGAATTCTGCTCAGGGAACTCAGTTCAACTCGCAGGCGAGGCTGAGCTTTTTTTAGGGAGAGAGGGAGCAGAGTGGTTTCCTGCGGACGTTGCTCTGTGAGTCACACCGAGTTCCATGACACAGCATTCCTGCCAGGAAACTTCACTGCTGGAACTGATGAGCACATCAGCGCTCTGGAATCTCCCTTTGTGTTAGCAAACACACCTAAGCACTTCACCTGCTGCTTCTGGAACTTGTTCTGATAGTACTTGAGAGATTTTTAAACTCAGCTGATTCAGAGTTTTTTAGTTTCTCTCAGAACCCCATCATAACATCAATATTTTTAGTGTCCATTAAGAGCCTTCCATATAAGAAGTTGTAATGGCTTTTAATGCTGTAACACAGATGAAATAATAATTATTATTTAATTACACGTGTAATAATGAAGTTGCACATTACTTCTCTAAGTGTTTTAATGCAAACACTTTTAAGGTCAGAGTAGCTTTATAATTCCTCTGTAGCACATTTTTTCTGATGTGTCAGTGACCAGGACAACTTACTTGAATGGGTTGAATGGACCAAAAAAAAATAGCTTTGAAGGTTTTTTGGGATATATGAGGTGGATGTATAGATTTATATTCTTGCTTTGAAGCCCTGTGAACACATCACAGAGTGACAATGATGGCTGGCCCTGCTGAGGGACCCCCAGGGCTGTGTCCAGTTCTGGTCCCCAATCCAGGAGGGACATGGAGGGGCTGGAGCGTGTCCAGGGCAGGGAATGGAGCCCCAGGAGGGGCTGAGGGAGCTGGCAAGGGGCTCAGCCTGGAGCAAAGGAGGCTCAGGGGGCCCTTGTGGCTCTGCACAACTCCCTGCCAGGAGGGTACAGCCAGGGGGGGTCGGGCTGTGCTGCCAGGGAACAGGGACAGGACAAGGGGAAAGGGCCTCAGGCTGGGCCAGGGGAGGCTCAGCTGGGACAGCAGCAGCAATTTCTGCATGGAAAGGGTGCTCAGGCCTTGGCAGGGGCTGCCCAGGGAGCTTTGCAGTGCCCAGCCCTGCAGGTGTCCCAGGAAGGGCTGGAGGTGGCACTCAGTGCTCTGGGCTGGGCACAAGGTGGGCACTGGGCACAGCTGGGACTCCATGGGCTGGCAGGGATTCTCCAGCCTCAGTTATCCCAGGATTCTGAGCAGTTTTTTCTCACTTGCCTGAGACTTTCATTGCCACCCTCAGTGCTGGATTTCACCTGCTAATGCAGAATTCCTTTCTGATTGATAGGATAAAAGGGGGCTCAACATAACCTGACTGTTTTCGGTGTTTAGGCAGATTTAAGCTGTCAAGGCAAGGAAGGCATTTCCCCAGGCCTTTGGAAGGACATTCCAAATGGCTCTTGAATGATCAAGACACAGCAGCAGTGGAGCTCTGGGGTATCTTCCCTTTCTCCTCAGTGCCAGCAGTCAACCTCAAATCTGGTTTTTGTCACATTGCTCATGTTCTGGTGGGAAATAAACAACATCTCTGTGGCCATCTTTATTCTTCAGATGTTTTTTGTGTGATTGTCACTCTCCTGTTGAAGCAGGATGGGGGAAGGTAGAGGGGAAACAGCAACAGCCACTGAACTGAGGGCAGTAGTCCCAGATATCCAGTCCTATAGAAAGAAAATTATGTCATCAGCTCAGGCTGTCCTCTCCTTCAGCCCTTAGGCTAAATATGTCCTGGCTGCGCTGTGTAGGAGAGAAAAACACCCTCCCCTTTGCACATCCAGTGGAAGAGTTCATTGTGTTTCTTTTTATTTGTTTAAGGCTATGCAGGGTGTTATGTTGTATCTGTCTGGACACATGCAGCATTTAAATTCACCACGGTTGAAAAGGTGTTCTCAAAGCTCCCTTTTAATTACCTGTAATACTCGTCCAACTGTCTTCTCTTCTCCCTTCTGGCCCCACCTGACTCGTGGGAACACAGGGCTGCCTTTGTTATGTGCCTTGAGGTCACTGAACTCACACAGGCCTGGATCATGGGGGAAAAAAATATCACCAAGATAAGATCTGCTGGAGGAGCACAAGAGCATTTCTGTCAAATATGAACGCATTTATTGTCTGGAGGGAGTTCCTGAGTTGGCCTCTGGCCTCACCAGGTGACTTGTGCTGTCCTGAGAGGTGTGTGAGTGTCCTCAGCATAACAAGGAGTCCTTCTTGGCCTGTGGCATCTTCTAATTAGGCTGCAGATGCCTCATGTATATTCTCAGTGGGAGGGATTTATAGGATTGTTACTAACTAAAGAATTTTTAGGTGATGAGCAATTCCTGTGTTCACTCCAGAATCCCTCCTGGAAAGGAGGCCCAGGTTGGGCAGATGACATCTGTTGAGTGTTATAGAGCCCAGTCACTAAAAGAGTGCTGGAAAAAAAACTCCAGAACTCACTGGTGCCTCATTCCATGTCTCCTCAGATTTTAAATAAAATGGGAGTTGGACTTGATCATGGGGCATTTTTAGGTGTCTAAACTTTGTGGAGGAGCTGATGGTGAGCACATTGTTCCACTGGATACTTGGCTGTCTCCATGTGTTAGGAAAAAGCACTGCTGGGCCATGCTCAGGGGCGTGGATCTACTAAAAAACCCCAGAGCAGCTGCTCCTATAAAATACTTGTTTTCTGTGTGATAGGATGAGTGTGGAACGATTTCTGTGTGCAGCTTCTGAAAATTCTTTTTCCACCCTGTAGCTCTGCAGATTCCTCGGTATTCCTGGCAGCAGGCTGCCTCTCTCGGGATGGAGCTCAGAAATGCTGCTATTTGTTCCTGCTAGTGCCTATTTTTCAGTTTCCACATTATTTAATCCATGGAGTGGAAGCAGGCTGCTTCCTACGCCTCTGACTTCACTCCTGGCCAGTGTCTCTGTTGGATCCAGCAGGCTGGGGAGAGTCCGTGCTCTGCTGGAAAACACTGCCAGCGCTGCTGCTCATCCCATCAGTGTTCCCAACATGACTCAGCCCGCTTTGTGTTGTGGTTTTGTACCGAATTACAGCAGCTCCCCGCTGCCTCGAGTTAGCAGCCAGCAGGCATCTCTGCTCCCTCTCACCTGGGATGCTTTCCCCGGCCTTTCCCGCTGGATCCTGGAGATCCTGTGTGCTTCCAGTCCTTGCTGTGCCCTTTGGGATGGAGGCTGGATGCCAGCCCTCGGGGGGGCGGGGGGGGGGTGGTGATGCTGCCTGGCCAGGGACTCTGCTGCTGCTGAGCCAAAAATTCATGGAAAGCTTGAGGAATGAATTGGTTGTTGCTTTGTGTTAGTGTGGTGGAACACGACTTTTCTTTTTGGTGGAGGGATTGTTTTTTAAATTTCTAGGGTAGGACTGATATATACTGGAAAAAGGAATCCTTCCTCCCTGCAGTGACTTTTAAGTGACACTTAACGAAAGCGTTCCGGGCGTCCAGCAGGAATCACCAGACCGAACACGGGCGATGTCCCCATTTCCCCGTGTTTCAGGCGCTGTTTGCCGGCAGGGCAGCACTGCCGGGATCTGTTGCACCACCCGCGGCCGGGCTGGCACTCCCGGCCTCCTCCTCCTCCTCCTCCTCCTGCTGCTGCTGCTGCTGCTGCTGCTGCTGCTGCTGCTGCTCCTGTGGCGGGCGCTCCGTCCCCTCCTCTCCCGGCGCTGACGCACTGGCGCGCCCGCGGGAGGAGCGGTGGCAGCGCTGCCGCTCCATCCCCTCTGGATCTCGGATCTCCGCTCACCTCTCCGCCTTTCCCTCCGCAGGAGCTTCCCGCGGGGCTGCCGAGCAGCCGGCAGAGGAGCTCTGAGGAAGCCCAGCCCGGGGGAAGTTGAAAGGCGAACTTTGAAGGCGAAGGAAGTCGGGGCTCCGCGCTCCGGGAGTGGCCGCGCCGCCGCCGTGTCCCCGTCCTGCTGCTCCCGGGAGCGGCTGCGGCTGCCAGAGGACAAGCCGCGTTTGCTGCTGCTCTCTGCCGCCTCATTTCCAGCAGTGAGTAGCTCTTTCCCCTCCGGATGGTCCCGTTTGAGTGTTTGGAGTGTTTGGAGTAAAGGGGTGTTTGGCTCTGCTGCGTTTGTGGAGGCATAGAGGGGCTTGGATACACCCCAGTCTACAGTACAGCTATGGGGAGCTGGTTGTCTTTTTGCTTGGGTGACTTTTTTGAAAGTGGCGCTTAAACTTGTGGTTACTTTGTTGTTCGCTGCTTGGTTTTAATCTTAGTTTTCAGTTTAGCTTGAGGTCTTTTTTACTAGAAACCAGCCAGGCTGCCAGCATGTGGGACAGCAGTGACCTGCCCGTGGCTTGTCCCCCAGGTTGCGTGCGATAGGGTTGTGTTTCCATCAGGCAGCTTCACCTCCTGCCGGGACACGGAATCTCCCCCTGGTTTCTGGGCTTGGAGGTTTGTTTGCAGCACACCTGTGGCAGACAACCAGAGTTACACAGCGTGGCAACGGCACAAACTAAAAGCCAGCGACAATCTGCTGTCCCCTTTGGTGGCACCTTGGGCAACTCTCCCCATGCCTGACCTCCCCATTGACTGCTGCCAGATATCCTCAAGGTGGTTGTTTGCTGTGTTTGTAGGAAGGAGCAGGAGCAAGAGAGTGTTTTAGACTTTCTGTGGTGTTGTAGAGTGCCTGTGCCTGCTCCGTGTGTGTCACAGTGTCACCGCTGCCCGGCAGCATGAACACAGCTGTGAGTGTACAGCAGGGTGGCCCCGGGTGTGAGCAGCCCGTGAGTCACTGGGAGAACACAGAAACGCTCTCAGAGGGCACAGGGGAACAGAACTTCATCCCTGGATCCGCTGTGGAGTCTTTCCAGGGGCTGTGATCCTATTTGTGCGTTTTGGGCACGGCCGCCTCTTCTGCTCAGCCTAAACCTCTTTGGAACTCAGTGCTTTAAGCTGGAAGCTTTATAATAGATTTAGAGCTATGAGTCAAGGAGGTGTTTTTTTTTTTACTTCTGGGGAAGAAACTGAACCAAACTGCCTGCAGTGGCTGATCTGTGTGTATTTTTGATACATATATTTGTGTATATGGACACACAAGTGCACACACAGAGAAGAGCTACTCCAGGCGTTGGTTCTTAGGCTGTGTGTGTACAGATGGGCACGTGTATCTGTATAAAAAATGTGTTTTTATAGCAGGATGGTGTGAGCAAGCTGAGAGGAGCATTTTAATTTCTTCCTGCTCTGTCAAGTAATACCCTGCCTTCTTCATTTGCCAGTTGATTTGGTTATGCAGACAAAGGCAGGAAAACAGACCATAACAAAACCACTCTTATCTAATCTGCTTAACAGCACTGTCAGGTAAATCATTAACCCACAGGCCTGGTGCCTGTAAAAGATGCTAAAGAGGTTTCCCTGAAATTCCCCTTTTCCAGAAGGTAAGAAATGAAATTAGTTGCAGATCTTGGTTTCACACGTGGGTGTTTGCTGCTGCCGTGGTTTCTGTGCCTGTTAACAAAGTGCTGCAGTCCAGTGGATTAATGATGGGAGAGGACCTGCTCACCCTGAGGTCTTTTTCCTAAGAGAGCAGCTCCAGCTAAGGCAGAGGGGAAACACAGCATTTACTTACTTGTAAACACTGTCATTCATTAATGAAATGTAATTTCACGTGGGTTCATGGCTGATGGAGTGTTTTTGCTCAGCAGCTTCGTTTCCTGGCATCCTGTGATTCAAATCCCTTTGAGCTGGGAAGATTTGCTGTGGGTCTTGCTGTGCTTAATTCCACACCAGGCTTCTGTTTTGGTTGACTTTTGTTTCTGTAAGCATGTAAGTGATGGGTTTCTCTGAAGCATTTAATACTCAGAGTCTGTACACAGTCCTGTCTGCAGTTGCTTTACATTTTGATTGATCGTGTTGGCAGTGAGTGACTTAAAGCATGGAAAATCTGTAGCACATGGACAACAGCAGAAGTAGTTCCATTTGTGATGTTTGCAGCCATTGCCTGAACAAAGAAAAAGGGTTCAAGAAGGGCTTAAGCTGTTCTAGCTGCCCATGTCCAAGAGCATGACTCAAAACTTCCAGCTAAACTCCTCTAAGCTCCCTGAGTCGGTGTTGGAGTTGTGCCTTCCCCCCCTAAGCTGGATCTGTTTAAAGTGACAAACTCTCAGCCTGGTTGTCTTCTGCCAAAGGTCTGCCTGCTCCTACCAGGGCATTTTCAGGCATCTCCAGGGAGAGGATTAATCCAACTGGAGGGCACAGCTCAGAAAGCTGGACCTCACTTTCAGTGCTAGTCCGTGCCCCAAGTGCTGTGTGCCCAAGTTTGGCACAGCTCAGCACCCTGCACAGCCTGTGCTCTGCTTGCCCGGCTTTCCAGCTGCCTGGGAAAGCTCCAATTTGCTCCTGCTGCTCAGGAAAGTGCCCTTTTTGCTTGGTTAACTTTACAGCCTGGCTGCACATTAGCTTTTTAAAGCTGAGCTTTTTACAGCTGCTCTCCCATGTGAGGAGAGAACTCAGGGTCTGACACCTAACGCCAAGTGCCTGGGGGAGGAGATATCCAAACCTGGAGGAGAAGGTGACTCCAGACCTTTCCCCAGGAGGTGGGAGCTTGTGGAAGGAGGTCTCTGTGCTGGGGACACCCCAGAAATGTTCCCAAGTGCTGTGTCAGGTGGTGATGTTGCTTACAGATGGCAGGGTGATCCCTCCTCCCTGTCCTGGGAGAGCCCAGTGCAGGAGCAGATCCATGCTCTGGATCCTTTCTCCTTTGAGTTTTTAGGGACAAGAAGTGCTGATTGTGGTCTCAGCCAGTTCAGGTGAGCCATGATCCTTGGGGTAACTAGGTTACCACACTCTGTGTGCAGTCAGAGCTGTTGTGGCCACAAGGGACAAGCAGAAGGAGCACACCTTGGGAATGTCCCTTGTGCATTCTCCTCTGGCCTGAGGATGGTTTTTGGCCAGGAAAATTGCCCTGATGGAGCACTCTGTTGTCTCCAGCTGCTTTCTGCAGCTGTCTGCATGGCAGAGGAGGTGGGGGGAAATGACTCTGGTTAAAAATAGAAAGGTGGATTAGGAAATGTGAGCATGGGTTTCAGCATCCAGCAGGGCTGCTCTCACAACTCGCTGCTGCCACCGAAAGGGGAAGGACTTGCTCATACTCCTTGTCTGCAGAAAAGCATGAAAAGAACAGGTTTTCCTGCAAAAAACCAGCAAAAGAACAGGTTTTCCACCGTGGAATCACCCAGGCACAGGAGAGGAGGAGGGGGATGCCTCTGAGAAAATCTTGTTGAGCTCTGCTGGCACAGGTGACACAGCCCAGGTGTGCAGGGACTGGAATTCAAGTGAAGGCTCCCACTGGAAAGGTTTGGTTTAAGCTCGTCTGGGTTAGTCTGCCCGAGTTAAGGACAAAGATTTTAGGAGATTTACTCTGCTCTTTGAATTGTTCTTACTCTGCTGTTTTATGAGGAGAGTTCTACTTGGAGGGGGGAAAAAAAAGCAAAACCAAGAAATAGTGAGGGCGTGATTTCGCTGAATGTGAATGTGTAACATGACACACTCAGAAGAGACTTCATTTTGCAATAAGTGTGTGAAGTGTCAACAGACAAGCCAAGGGGAAATAACTTGTGCTTTGGAAACTATGGACTTCTAAAGTTGCTTTTAGGAAGTGTTTGCTGTACAGTGTTTTGTCACCAGCCTTCAGTGCTTATCACTGTTCCTTGTGGTTATCACTGGTCCTTTTGATATATTTTCTGTTGCCTTTCCTAAAACAACTGAACTCCTAAAACCAGTTAGAAAAACAATTTTTTTTTCTTTGGGAAAAGTTTGTTTCCTGCTGCTTTTTTCCCTTTGATTTTGGGAGTTTGAATTTACTTTTATTTGCTTTTTAAATTTTTTTTAAAACTCTTTATCAGCCTTTAGAACAGTTTGAGTTCTCCTTGGTTCAGCTGCTGTTGTAGCATGTGTTGTAGCAGTGATCCAGCCTGTGCAGTGTTTAGAAAGAAATATCCAGGGTCATTTCAGATATCCTAGATAGATCCTAAAACCCAGGATTCACCCTGTACCAAGCATTCCCTGCACAGGATGTGGTGAAGGGACTGCAGCAGTTATTTTTCATAGCTAAAGAATGTTTATCTAATACTTAGTTCAGAAAACCTGTCACATTTCCTGGGCAAATACTTTGAAGACAAAGAGCATTTATTCTTTTTGAGAAGCTGTGAATACAAGGTGGAATTCAGTATCAGTTTCCATTTACCTGGAATTGTTCTGTCTTGTAAAAGTGAATTTAAGAATTGGAGTTACACTTCAACCTCTGAAAGAGAATCTTGAAGACAAGCAGGTATTTTTACTCAGTTAAGTTTCACAACTCTTCAGCATTTCTCACAAATTACTGGGCTGCTTTTCATAACCAGGAGTAAAAATTCATTGGTCTCCGTGATAGATGTAACACTGTTTTCTTGTAAATTTAAGAGATCACTTCAGCAGTCAAGCAGGTTTTTCACCACTAAGAATATGGATGCTGTAATACTTGATTTATTTTTTAAAACAATGAAGTTGAAGACATTTGACTCCAGTTTATTTGTATTGGAGAAGCTGATGCTTTGGGATTGTTGGGTATTAAGCATCATGGGTGAGAAGGATTTAGTTGGAAGACCACCAGCAAGTGAGTTTTGGTGCAACTTTGATTTCAGTTTCATCTTCCCAGCTTTCTGGGTTTTTTCCATATTATTTCAAACTCCTTTGGTGTTTTGAACTTTTCCCTTTTCATCTCAGCCACCTGCTTTGCTCTGGGGACATTGGTTTGTCTGTTCTAAACCAGTCACACCCCACCTAAATCCTGGCATTGTTCAGCTCTCTCAGAGTGTTTGGATGTTGCACTGAGGTTAAAACAACAAAGAACAACCTCACCAACAGCACAGGATGCTGGAGCAGCTCTGTGGGACAGACCTGGGGGACACCGAGCTGTCCCTGAAGCAGCAGAGTGTCCTGGGGACACCGAGCTGTCCCTGACCCAGCAGAGTGTCCTGGGGACACCGAGCTGTCCCTGACCCAGCAAAGT